TTGATTATGGGCTTGAGCGCCCCGTGTGTCAGTCACGGCTGCTGTTTGAAACGCTCTCATTTCTTCTGCTGTCGTTCCTCTGTTTGACTTGGGTTGCTGGGGCCTTGTCACCTTGGACACCTTTAAGCAGTAGGTGTCCTCGGGGAGCCAAAAGCAAGCCATCAGGGTGCAGTTAGCCCTAAGTACCGAGGAAGCTGTCATAGCACTGACTGCGGACACGGAGTCCCACACCCATGGATGGCTGCCGCTGTGATCAGCCGCAGCCAGGCTTGGTGAGCCTGCTGTGGACGCCTACCTAGTCGTCCTGCAGGGCAGTTTACGCCAGGGGAGGGATGAAAGCACAGGTGTTCCTTTAGTAGAAACCTGAAATATTTTTTGACAGCTTTTAATCCTAATATGAAAATAGTGCTGGAAAAGGAAGAGGCTGGTACTGACCTTGGGCCGTCTTCTCATAAGGGTCCAGCCCCCCTTCAGGTCTCCGCTGTCTTGGCAGTGAAATGCAGTGCGCATAAACGAAAAGCAGCTTCACGCGGCGTCCCGCTCATCAGGTGGGCCGCGTGCCGGCTCTGATGCTCGCGAGGTCGCAGCTGCTGTGTGCTTGGTGTAATTTTTAAAAAAGCTAGTGCTTTATTTCTGCAGCAGAGAGGGCCCCGACTCCTGTATAGTCTGGGTTATTTTACCTATTTCTTGAATAAAATTTTAAAATGTAGGAAGAGAATCTTCTGAAATTAATGCTAAAAAGCTTTAGGAAAATTCCTGATGGGTACCAGATTTAAAAAAAAAAAAAACATTATTGCTTTCATTCAACAGAATTGACAGATCTCATAGCAATTGAAAGAGGTATTGATCTTCGTTCTCATTAATAGCAAGTGTTCAGGGCCCTTTAGGACTAGACCAGCAGCAGGTGTAGTGGTGCACGCCTGTAATCCTAGCACCGGGAGGTTCAGGCAGAAGGACTGCAGTGAGTTCAAGACAAAGCTAGGGCTGGCCTGATAACTCAGCGGATTAAAGCGCCTGCTTAGGCAGAGCACAGTGTACCAGATATACAAATAAAGAAAAAAAATTTTTTTTAAAGGGGAAAAAACCACTAGAGCTGAAAGGCCTGGACTTATCTCAGAAGACTCTTTGTGACCCTGCTCTGGTTCAGGGACACTGGGCACAGCAACCCTTGAAATAGATTATACCTGCGCAGTGGGGCTGGGCAGACAGGCTCAGGTCAGCCCCTGGCCCCGGAGCAGCTCTCGGAACTCTCTAGCCTTGCTGAAGCTCTGCCGGCGTGGACCTCGGGTCCCTTCCATTCCCTGATAGGCATCCAGTCCAGAGTGTTCAGAAAGAACAGTGAAGCAGTGTGTCGCAAGAATAAGAGCAGTTCTGAGCATCTCCCTGCCCGCCACACGTGCGTAGTGAGCCACGAAAGCACTGGGTGGCGTTCTGTCGGTCGCCGTATGCGGCTGTGCGTGCAAGCAGTCAGGAAACAAAGCCCCTATTGAGGTATAGAAGTCGAAAAAGACACAAGAATGGGAAGGAATGCCAGCCTTCTGGAAACTTTGGGATGGCTCCAGTAGCCAAAAAAATTTCCTGATACATTTGCCAAGTAAAAGAGTTGAGGTTGAGAGCTAGCTCGAGAATTTCAGCTTAATACACATTTTGGAGAATAGGCTGGGGCTGCTAAGCTGTAACGATGGATGGTGAAGTTGCGTCTTGACTCTTGTTAACAAATTGTGTTTTCATTTCCTCAAAGCGTGAACACCTCACTCGGCTCATAAATACAGGTCATTGCCATATTTGTTCGTTGAGAAGAGACTCCATGTCACCAGGCCCCTGGGTGCTGCGTGGCCCCGGTTGTCTTCCTATTCTACTACTGCTGCCCTCCCAACTTTATTTTACCACCTCTTCCTCTTCATGTAAGAAAACCAAAGCAGCTCCAAACTGTGTCCATAGTTTCTCTATACTGGGAGCACGCGGCAGCTAAGCTCTTAGGGCAGAACAGAGCGCAGTGTCTGGTTACAGCTGGACTTGGGCCATCCTCAGTCCTTAGTGTTTGATAACTTATTCCACTTGTTTCTCTTACACTCCCGTCTCCTTCCAGTTACTTAACTATGACAAATTTGGGAGAGTTCCTGTAGAAAGGAGTATAACGACATACTTTTTTATGGACTCTAGATAGAGGTCTCGATCTTTCACCTGTCATACCATGTTACTAAAGAAGGGGTAAGCCGGAGTTCTGCTGACCTTGGCCTGCCGGGCTGCCCACACATGACCCACACCAGGACTGGGAATTCGTTAGGGTCTGTGCAGCATGCCGAGCGCTTCTCAGAGTGCGGAATGGCACCAGGGCTGTGGTGACTAAAGCAGCAGACGAGGTGAGGTCAGCTGAGACTCACATGCGTGGTGGCTCACATAAGCAGGTACAGGCACTGTCAAGTTAATTTTTTCAAACTGCATCTATCACATTAAAAAAGCATGTAACACATTGTAGTTACCAACACAAAGATTGCTGACAGTGGTGAGAGAAGTTTCAAGAGCCTGCCTGTGTGCTGAGCTCCCCGTCACATTTCCAGCCTGGTGTCTCTGGGTTGTCCTGCCTCGTGCTGCTTGGACGGGCATGGTCAGTGAGCCCTGTCGCTGTTTGGAAGGTGGATGCTCTGCAGAGTTGATTCCCTGACTTCACCTGCACCTCCAGGCTTGTTTCTTATGGTTAAGAAACTGTGTTAACTATGTTGTAAGTAGGCCAGCAATACAGTCCAGTGGCACAGTGCCTGCCTGGCAAGTGCAAGGTCTGGAATTCGATTCAATTCCCAGTGCCAAAAACCCCAAAAATCTTTGTTGTAATTATAATAAGTTACAGGTTTTAGCACATCATTATTGGTGAAGAGCCACTCCTAGCTTGGGCATCTGATGGGACTGTGTGGGCCCTTGTCCAGAACCCTCTTCTGTCCCTCATCAATATATTTCTAACAGGATTTTCTGTCTTCCAGAAAACACTGAGACATGTAAAGATAAGTAGGCACAGTCTTTTTCCTTTAATCTACAATCTAGTAAGGAGGTAGGCACTGGACTAGCCTCTCTATGGGATGTGCTGCAGTAACACAAAGAACAAGCCCAGCAGGTTCAAGGAGGCTCTGTTTATGAATTCAGGATAAGCTGTAGGAATTAGGCCTTGGGGGGATGTTGTGTGAGTAGGAAAAAGAGGGGAGCTTCCCAGCAGGGGAGCGAGCTGGGAGAAGGTGTGGCTGTGGTGAGTCTGAGTCAGCCTGCTCAGGACAGAAATGCTGGGAGTCGGAGTGGAGGTGAGAGTGGGGTTCGGTGGGCGGTGGGCGGCTCCAGGCCCTGAAGGTGGAACTAGACAAAGGGAAGGCTGGAGAGGGAATGGTGGGGGCTTTTGGAGGGGTGGAGTAGAGAGAGCCCAGAGCCAGAGGCGGGAGGGGACCATTTGCGGGATGGAGATGAGAAAAGCAGGCGGGAGGCAGCCACTGCAGACCAGAGAGCACTGCTGTCCTTGTGCTTCCAGGACCAGCACCCAGGGGTGCTGAGGGACGGTTTGCTCAGAAAGCAGGAGTTGAACTTAGTTAAGCCAGCTAACTCTGGAGGGTGAGGACAGAAGAGAGAAATGACTTAGGGATATTCAGCCTGACATGATAGATGTAGGGAGGACTGCTTCGGGGCATTGTGGCATAGGGAAAGCCTGTCAGCTGTGAAGAGGCTTGATCTGAATCCCGGGTGAAGACGTCTGTGCGACAGCTGGAGAGAGCTCTGGCTGCAGCTGAGCCCGCCCCGTGGAGGGAGCAGGCGGACTTGGGGTCATACTCCTTGGCCTCTGACTTCATTCTGTAGCTGCTAACAGAGCTTCGCCCTGTGCTTTGCCCTGTGATCCTGTTACCCCTTCTGTGGGCTCCCCGCGTCTGAAAGCCCCCGTCCCTTGCTGCAGAGGGCATAGGCTCACGGCGGGGCCAGCCTTTCTCGTTCCCATGAACTGGGCTGCGTGTGCTCCAAGTACCTGTGCTTGTGCTTAGTGTCATTTGGCCGTGGAGATCTGCGGTGAGCTCTTCTAAGAAGCGGAAACGCACCCTGTGAGGGATCCAAGAGCTCTGAGTGGCTCGCAGTGGGTTTAGGGTCCAGGAGCCTGCTCATCATAACTTAGATTCCACCTACACGACTTAGATTTTGCTTTTTGGCTGTTGAATGGGACTGCCCTGCCCAGCAGTGAGAGTCAAGAGACTTGTGTTGGCATTTGCTTTCAAAATAGCATTGTTATTAAGGTTTAGTTGATTGATAGTCAAGGGTTTCAACATCACTTGTTGATCTCCCTGTGATTTGGCCCAAGGCAGCAGGAACAAAACCTGTGTCCCCGGACCACAGAGCTCTGGCTTCTACCTCAACAGCCAGCTGGCCAGTAGAAGACCCTGACAGCTCAGAAGCAGGTCTGTCAGGGACCATTAGCCCCTCTATTGTGAAGTGTTGTAAGCTCAGTAACTGACAATGTCCAGCAACTCCAGTTCTGTGCATTTCTTCGTGCAGCCTCAGTGCCGCTGCCAAGCAGAATTATAGTACCATACTAGCGGCAGTTGGAATATTCATTTTAAGCTCGGAGTAATAAAGTGGGAAAACAAGCACACAGGGATCTCACCACGCTTGTGTGCTCTCAGAAGCCTCGTAGGAGAAATTGGTATTAATTACTGCGTTACTGCCGCTTGGGTTCAATTATCCCCTGCTCTACCGTGTTGGGAAACTGCACGAGTGGTTCCCAGTTCCGTCCTGGCAGCGCTGGGGAGCATTCCTTTTTTATGCCTCTTCCCCCACCCACTTCAAGCAAGTTTTCCTGTGCTTCATGGAGAGTAGCATCATGGGAAAGTCTCTTTTGCAGGCATCTGGCAGGCTTTGCTTTCATTGTCTCGTGAAGTCGCTGCCTTTCTCGCATTTATGTGACATTATGCATCATGCCTCTTCCTGGTATTTTCCCTGTAAGTTGTTGACTTCGTGTTTTTTATTTGCCCGTGCAGCCTGTCTCCTGGTTCGGACATCTATGTGACGGTCTCCTCCATGGCTTTAGCAAGATCCCAGTGTCGTAACTCCCCTAGCAACCTGTCTTCGTCCAGCGAGACTGGCTCTGGTGGGGGCACGTACCGACAGAAGTCCATGCCCGAGGGGTAGGTATGCTGCCTGGCCGCTGCTGGCTCCGTGCCTTTCACCTGCACACTGGTGCATGGTTTGCCTTCAGCCAGCCCTGACTCACCTACGAGGAGCAGGGGAGTGTGGCTGATACGCCACACAGAAAGTGTTTCTGTGGCAGGTTCAGGCTGCTCTTAGGAAGTTCATCTCTCACCTCGCACTTTACCAAGGTCTCGATGGCAGAGAAATTGAATTGCATCGATGTGTCTCTTATGTATATCACCTAGTATCACAGGAAGGAGCTTGTCATTTCATATTTCCTCCAGAAAGGCTACTTAGCATGGAGTTTGTATTTTTGTATTACTGTTAACAAAGGGAAAATTATAATCACATCCTATCATTTAAGTCTTCTAAGGTATTTTTGGGGGTTTTGGGCAGGGTGTGTTTTGTTTGTATTCATTGAACAGCCAAGCATGATGGCACAATAATCCGAGCACTCAGGAGGCTGAGGCAGGCAGGAGGATCACTGTGAGTTTGAGTTCAAGATCAGCCTGAAGTACATAGTGAAACCTACCCCCACCCAACAAAAAACATCTTCAGTGAAAACACCGAATACCCAAATGTAACTATTTGCTTCCTTTTATAATTTCATAAATTATAAAATCTATGAAGTAGACTAGGGATATAGTTCAGGTACTTGCCTAACATACACAGGGTCCGGGGTTTGATCCCCAGCACCTTAAAAAAAAAAAAAATTACATGATTTTTATAGAGGCCACTGGAAGGGGAAAAAAGATTATGAGGTCTGAAGCTAAGGCACATTAGATGTCTGGCACTCAGGCAGCCTTCACTCTGAGGGAAGGTAGAAGGACCATCAAAGGCGGCCTGCTGAGGCCCTCCCCACGGAGCCTGAGAAGAGCCATTTCAAAATCAGATGGAGGTGTTGATGAAAGTGAGTGTTTCTATTTTCTCAAAATATATTTTTAACAAATGGACATACAAAATGAACAAGCTTATTGATAATACCCTCACATAAAAGGTACTTCTTATATAGTAGCATTTGTTGGGTTTTATAAACGTTAAGTGTGACTGTCATTACTGAATATGTGCGCTAGCAGAAGCCAGGTGACAGGACCAGTGTTGAGCATACCCTCCCACAGCACTGCCTCTCCAGGACTCCCTCCTAGCCCGCCTAAAATGCACATTTCTCGTTTTAATTGCTTCAGTAACAATTGCAGGAGAAAAGTTAATGAATTGCATGTTATTGCACTGCATCACAAGCCCAACTAATTATTTCTTGCTTTAATTAGATTTTAAATGGCTGGTTTGCCTTCAAAATGAAAAATTCACCACAACTTCAGTGTTAGTACAGCACTGAAATATAAATGAGCCAAGAGAACGGAGGGTTTTTTTTCTGTCTTTGGTAATACTTCTAATGTATACCACAACCCAAAACAAGTGAAGCGTTGTGGTGAACAGTGATGCCCAAAGCAGGATTCTAGCGCCCTGCCGCTCCAGTTGTGTCAGTGAGGTGGGGCTCTCCCGTGGGTGCTCAGTGAGTACATCTCTTCCATGGGTGGTAGTGGGGAGCTGGCATCCTTTGTGAGGTCCTTTGGGACCGTAGGCCTGGCTGCACAATGTCTTTCTCACTTGGGGAGACTGTCCGTAAGGCAGATACGCCATTTTCCCCTGGATCCCACGCAGTTCTGTGTATGCTGGCAGGAGGCGGCGGAGGTCCACAGTCGGATGACTCCCATGCGATGCTCATGGCTCAGCTTTGGTCCTGAAGTTCCCTTTGCCATCTCCTGTGCAGCCTGCCCCAGACTAGTGTGTATGTTCAAGTCCATAGTGAAGCCCAGCGGTGTGCCCTGCCGCCCGCAGGGGCAGCATCGTCTCAGGAGGTTGGCACACAGTAGGTGCCCGTGAATGTGGCACGCACCTCAGTGTCCTCCTTCCCTGCAGTGGCCTCGGCATGTGCATCCGTATGAAATGTGCCTGCCCAGTCCCTGGTTCACAATATTGAAAATACAGTATTGCAATCAGTTGAGAGATGCGATTTACTCGGGAGATTAATAATAGCTGCCCTATTTGGGGAAGAGAAGACACTTGGAAACCTTGAGACAGGAAAGAGAGGTAGGGAAAAATCATATTTGAAAACTCAGAGCCTAGTCAGGCATGGTAGCACACACCTGAGATGCCAGCACTTGAAGGCGCAGGCAGAGAGATGGCCCTGAGTTTGAGGCCAGCCTGGACCACATACGTAGTGAGAACCTGTCCTTGAAAAAAGAAGTCTTTTTACCCAGCTTGGAAATTCATTGTAGGGCCCAGCACGTTACGGATTTCTGAGGTGCTGTCGTGCAGCACAAGCCAGAGAGAAAGATTGCTTGGGTGGTGAGGACACCCAGACAGCTTTCTTCAGCGCTGTTAGATGAGGGGTGAGGAAAGTCGCAGGGCAGGGGAGCCCTGCTCTGTTAGCCTCGTCAGAGCCTCTCTCTTCCCTGGAGAGGCGTGGGCTGCCTCATGAGGCTGAGCATCCCTTCATGTCTCGTGGGTCGTCAGCCGTGCAATGGCTCTCACCCCCCTGCAGGTTATGCCTGTGACTCAGGCTGTGCATACGCAGGTGCTCCTTCAGACAGGTGCAGCTAAGCTCTTCAATAAGATGCACAGTGTAGGATTTAGAGCAGTTTGGTCTGAGCCCCTGGCAGACAGTATCTTTGCACACCTGATACTAGGATGTGTTGGTGCATACTGCAATCACAAGTTCACAGGTAAAAATGCTTTTCAAGGAAAAGTTTAAGTCTGCCTTGCCTTGTCATTTAAAAGCACATGGCTAAAAAGTACTTGACTTTAAGTTCAAAGATTTAAAAAGGTGTCACTAGTTTCCACTGCTGCTATAAAATAAAAGTGAGATTAGAATTCATTTTTAACTTGTCTGTGCCCTTTCAAAATGTTTTAATTTAGTACAGATTTAAAATAAGGGTCATAAGGTCAGGGTTTGTTCAATTCACTCTTGAACTAAACTAAAATTCTGTTCAGAGAGGAAGTACCAAAAAGCATAATTGTGATTTTTTTTTTCCTAAATATTTTCACTGAAGTTTTCCATAGATCAAGGTTATCTCTAGGTCTAGGTGTGGTGGTGCATATCTGTAATACCAGCACTTGTGGGCTGAGGCAGGAGTTCAAGGCCAGCCTGAACTGCATAATGAGACCCTTTCTCAAAAAAAAAAAAAAAGTTTTGTTTTTAATAATGGCCGTGTCCTGGTTTAAGGCACCTCTGCCTAGTACGCCTTGTGACTGGACATGTAAGTGCACAGCATTTGTGCCAGATTGGCACCTGGGGAGATGATGTAATAAATGGTTTACTAAAATATTTTTGGGTTTTTTTTGTTGGGGGTAGGTACCAGGAATCAGGCTCTGGACCTTGGGCTTGCCAGGCAGGTGCTTGTGTTGCTGAGCTATATCCCTGGCCCCTGAAATATTTTTATAGCCTTCTTTGTTTTTTCAGATATTGTATATATATTTTTCTCCTTTGAGTCCTGTGATAGAATTGCCATATTGCACATAAATAAACTGAGTCAGAAGTCTGGTGACCTTGCTGAGTCACACTGGGTGGTGGAGCCCAGCCCGACACCTCGTCTCCCCCTTTCCAGTGTCCCTCTGCCTGGCCCACCCCGTAATTATCAGCTGTAACAGCTAAGATGCTCGTTGCGTGCAGCAGTGGACACAAGTCCTGTTTACTTAGCTGTGTCTGCCACTTAGAGGTTCCCTGGTGACCACGCGTGGATTAGCGAGAGTCCTCTGTGACTGGTGGACTTCTGTACTCCAGCCCTTTCTCTGAGCTCGGATTGACTTTGCTGATAATGCTTATCAAAGCATATGCTTTAATTAAGCAGGTATTATTAATTAAGCAGGCATTATCATTTGACTTGGGGGGGATAAAAGTGGGTCACTAAGGAGCTAAGTCTTCTTCCAGAATCAGCATTCACCTTTATTCATGCAGCCTGCCTGCTTCCAGAGTGCCCCTCCGAGGGGCAACTGCAAATGCCCGCTTTCCAAAAGTGGGTTCTCTGCAGTATAAGTGACCAGCCTTTGTCTTTCAGACCACAGAGCAAGTGTTCAGAAGCACTTTTTCAAGAACCCATGACCTAAATGACTTTGTAGATCAGTAAGTTAAGAGAAGCAAACCTCCAGACTCTACTGTGTCAAAGATACATATGAGAGATTTAGACTGTGAAATTTTTCCCTTGGCTGAGAATGAGGGCCTGAGCTTGGCTATGAGAGTGTGAACATTGTGGTTTTCATTGCACACATCTCGGGTGGCTTAGTCCTGATGCCCTGCCGGTGTTAATAGCCTGTGAGTCTTTCTGAGGTCACGGTGTACACATTTCCACACCCATGCACGCAGGCATGTACCTGTACTGACACAGAAGCAAGAACTAGTAGCATCTGTCATCGGTGTCACCCAGGAGCTTGCCCTCACACCCAGGCTCCCTCATACTGTCTTTGTCTTTGTCTGGGGGGTCGCTTCAGGTTTGGAGTGGGCCGACGGTCCCCAGCCTCCATTGACAGACAGAACACCCAGGCGGACCTCGGCGGCGGCGGTGGCAAGGCCACGCCCAGCTGGCAGAGGAGTGAGGACAGCATCGCTGACCAGATGGGTAAGTAGCGAACTGCTCCGAAGCACAAGGGCTTGTGACGGGCCGCTGGACTGCCTGGTGACAATGTGCTGGAGGCTTTGTGTACACAGCACAACCTTGCTTATTAAGTAGTCACTAGAGTTAAGTTTCTGGTAGACGGTGCATACGTGAGAGCAGCAGGGAACTCCTGTGAGCAAAGGGGCTCTGGGTGACCCCAGACAAGCATAAACAGAACACAGCAATCTGTACTCAGCACCAGGAGTAAAAACGAGCCTAAAAGCCACTTGTACCCTAAGTACGTTTGTCCTCCCTTGTCATTGCCTACTTCCTCGAGAGATTTCTTGGTGTTCTTAATGTCAGGTTAAAAAAAACTGTACAAAGTGGGAAGAAATACAGTGACTTAGTTACAGCTGTAGCTTAGTTAGGTACTTGTCCTCCTTTATGTGCATTTTCTTTAGTTCCTTCTTCTCCATTATTAAACTGTCAGCTGAGGAACTGTCTTCGCAGAATAAAAAGCTAGATCAAAGAGTTGCCCCAGTAAGCCCTTATTTAGATTTGAGGTGCGCAGTCCCCCTCATCTGTGTGTGTGTGTGTGTGTGTGTGTGTGTGTGTGTGTGTGTGTGTTGTAACTCCAGAACACTCGTTGATACAGTACAATTTTGCTATGAAACAAGACAGTCTCAGCATACTGCATGGGGGTGTGGCCACAACGAGGCTGACACAGCACAGACTTTGGTCTGTTAGGCTGGGTTTTCCTCGCCTCCGTATTATGTCAGGAAGCGTTATCATCAATAAGAGATTTTAAGTTTTTTGAAAGATGTAAATTTCAGGGATGGGGCCGGGGAGATGGCTCAGTAGAATAAGCGTTTCCCTGGCAAGTGCAAGGGCTTGAGTTCAATCCCTGGTTCCACCCAAAAAATAAATAAGTAAATTTCAGGGATGAAAAGATACACTTTTAATGCAGAGGCCCCTTATTTTCTATTCTCCCCAGATTCAGGGTCTTGTCCTGGGTCAGTGGCTCTGCCCAGTCATTGCACCAGCCGTGAGTGTAGTGCGCAGCACATTCAGCTGACAGGAGTCAGGCAGAGAGCTGCAGCTCTTGGGTCTGAGGATGTGTTTTGCTCCAGCAGCTTCAGAGAGATGTGCTGTGCTGGGGAAGCCATCTGTCATTCCTCCCTTACCCACCTACCCCCAGTGCAGAAAACCTGAGCATATTCTGATCTGCTTTTCTGCTCTTGACAGAACGTTTTTAATCCCATATGTTTTGCTACCCCTGAGATGGTAACGACACTTGTGAGAAGGACCCCTCCTTCGTCTTGGCTTTAGCGGCTTTTTCTGGCTCCTGCTGCAGGCGTTGAGCGAGGCTGCCAGCAAGCCCTGCATGCAGTGTGCAGAGCTCAGAGCATACTTCCGGCTTGGGAAGTCACGGAGGCCTGGGAGGGTGCCCCAGAGGGTGATGTCACGGTGGAGCCGTAGTCCTCTCTCGCCCCCTGCCCCCGCTGCTGTTTTCCTCACATGGATTTTTGTTTGGTGGCTTTCCCTTCTTGACAGGTGAGGCTCAAAAGTGAATGTTGATGAAGCTCTGAAACATATTTCTCATCCTTTTAAGGCACGCCTTCTTTTTTTAAGGCAGCCTCAGAGCCTGCCCCAAGAAGCCTTTTGCTCGGTTGTGGAATTGAGGTCCAGGTGGTAGCTTTTCTTCACTCAAAATCTAAGGCTTTGAATAAAATGCTAACATTAATTTTTATAAGCTTTGGTATTCCAGTATATTCATTCTGGGAGAATTACCCAACCTTTCCTAATGGACAGTCAGAGTGCAGGGTTTAGTAGGTACAAGCCAGCCTAGAAAGAATTCAAGAGAAATACTTTATTGTTCATTACACGATGCTGAATGTAGGAAGGGCTGAACCTTCTGCACTCAGTTTGTGGGACTGACTTCCTGCAGTGGCTTGCATGGATGGAGACCTCCGCTAGACGGGCCCTTTGTTCTTCTACAGCAGGTGCTGCGTGGACTCTGCTGACAGCACCCAGCTCTGCATGGTCAGCTGGCTCTCTCGTCTCTGCAAACATTGATTTTTCTGCCTCTCTGCTCTTGGAAGTGGTTGAGAATCAGGCTCAGGGGTGGGCTGCCTGCTCCTCTATGTGGTAGGAAGAATCGCAGAGGCCATAGTTCTTGTTCTTAGCTACAGGTGTGGCTGAGTTGTTTCTCTCGCTGTTGGAGCCTCGTCTTGAGCCCTGGTTTGGAGTCCAGAAGGAAGCAATTGTTTTAGTAAACTAGCTGCTGTGTGTCTTTTCTGTTGTGCTTAGCTTACAGTCATAGAGGACCTCAGGATTTCAATTCTTTTGTCCTCGAGCACCATGAATACACAGGTAAAATATACCCAAGTGCCATGGTAAGTAACACGTGATTGCGTCCATGCCTGTGGAGGTCATGTAGGCTGAGCTAGGTTAGCCATACTTCGAATGAATTTCATAAATTTAATCCATATATTCTAAACTCCCCCCCCCACCAAAAGTTGATTCCAAACATCTCTGCATTGTTCATGGCCTTTGACTTGGTGGTATGTGGCTCTGCTGATGTGTATGATGGGACACATTGTCACCAGCTGCGAGCTTTACCCGTCAGCCACTTAGCTCTGACATGCTATCTATTGTGTAGACTCTTAACAAGCTTCCTGCAGAGATTCGGAGTTGGCTGGCCAGTGAACGGGAAGATGCGGTGGCACACCATATCGTTTGTCACCATGTGTTCCCCTGCTCAGTGCCTGCACCATAATGCCCTGTGCTGTATTCCAGAGCCTACGTGCCACCTCCCAGCAGTAGCCAAGGTACTGCCAGCTTTCCGGGAGAGCCCCGGTGGGAGATTAATGCGGCAGGATCCAGTGGTGCATTTGTCTCCAAACAAACAAGGACACGTAAGTGAACTGTGAGCTTACAGAAGTAATAGATTCCCAACAACTTAGCAGTGTGGAAAAGGACGGGTCTGTTCTGCTGCTCTTTGCTCTGCGAGATGAAAAATAAAGCCGTAGATAGCCCTGGAATTCCTGCGGCTCTGGCCCTCACCTTGCTTTGAGGTAAATGAGAGCTGCATTGTTCTGCCCTTGCATGTCTGCAGGTCTGAATGGAAGATTGTCCATTTTTTATCAGAAGCAGTCCCAAAATGTAAGGAATAGAAAGATCCCAGAAAGAAATTTTATTTGCTTGTGCAGTTGTGAACATGGGATACTGTTGGAGCACCAGCCAAGGAAACACGTGGGTTCCTCACGGCTGCCCCCCGTCTTCCCCAGCTGTACATGTGCGCTGTAGTGTAGTAACCCATAACCCAGGATTCCTTACCACTTAACAGGTGTAATTGGGAATAGCCTTTCTCCCTCTTGAAAGACAGTCCATTTCCTTGGTCTCACTTCACTTGAATGTGTATTTGCTTTGCAGTTGTTTCATGGGATGGGGCAGTACTCCACTTTGTAGTCACAGATGTACAAGGTGCGCAGAGAACTTTCTGTGAGCAGGCTCATACGAGTTCTGTTCTGGAGGAGTGAACATTGAAGCTGAGAACTGTGCAGCCTAACCCTGTATGTACTCTGTGAAGAGACTACTAAGGAAAGGTGATGTCACTGTTCTACTTGGAAGTGATACATTACTTAGATTAATCTGAATTTCCCCTCCCTCATTAATAACTTTTGTATTGACATCATGGTGAGATACTATTTTGGGATAGGATTGAGTTGAGAACTTACATTAAAATTGATTTCACCTGTTTCCTTTTTACTTGTGGCTGGTAGAAAATTTCTAGCACATCTAGGGGCCATGTTCCTGGACACTCTGGTAGGTCTGTTTGGATCAAACACATCTAAAGGGCCAGCAGCCATGCACGGCTGGGTGCTCCATGCTGACAGCAGAGGGACAAAGCCAGTGAACTTCTGCCTTTCTAAAAGTAAGCGAGGGCTCTTAATCTTTTGGTGGTACTGGGGATTGAACTCAGGACCCTGTGCTTGCCGGGCAAGCACTGATTCTACGGAGCTATCTCCCCAGTGAGGGCTCCTTGACGCCACTGTGTAAGTTGTTGCTGAGAAAAGTTCATCATAGCAGTAAATAACCAGGTTAGGGGAAGTGATGTGTCGCTTTGAGGTGAAGCTGATGTCTCCCTACCTCTCACCTTGGCCAATAAAAAGCATGCTCCTTCCTCCACCCAAGATGCATGGACACCGTTCCTTGTTTCCTGTTTATCTCCAAGATGCGTCAGGGCTTCCTGCCCCTCTCTAATGTGAAGCGTTATTTCATGCACACACCTTTGAACATCCTATTTCCTTGGTGAACTACGCTGTCTTTAGAAGAGTGTGGCAGGTGGGGGCGCCAGCTTGCTCGCGCAGTGGTGCAGTCAGCCCCGTGCTCGCACGGAGCACTTTTGTCAGCGCTAGAAGAGCCCCGCGCCCTGCAGCAGTCACCTCCTCCTTGCCATTCTTTCCAGCGCTGGTAAAGTCGCCAGTCTGCCTTCTGCCCCTGGGTGGACCTGTGCTGGACATTTCGCATGGGTAGAATCATAAAAGCGTTGGCTTCCCTCCATGAGTGGGCGTCCTCAGCATTCACCCAGGCTGCAGCTGGAAGCCAGCCCTGCCTTCTGTAGTTGAAGGGTTTTCTGTGCGCACACGCGTGCGTCTGGTCCGGTGCCAGCCGGTGGTCACTCGGGCTGCTGTGAGTAATGCGCCCCACACTCGTAGGCAGGTTGGGATGACGGGTTCTCACCTCTTGGTTCTGCACCGAGAATGGCACCGTAGCCGTTTTCGCACAGCAGCCGCCCGCGTGGGATTCCCCAGTGCCAGCCTCCTCCCTGCTGCCGTTTCACCGGTAGCCATCTAGCGTGTGCGAAGCGGTGTCCTAGCAGCTCACGGTAGTAAGCACCCGCTCGTGTGCTTGTTGGGTAGTTCTGTAGCGTCTTTGCAGATAAAAGTCTTGGCACACCTTTGACCTTTTTCAGTGGTGGTTTCTGAAACAAAAGATTTAATTTTGATCCAGTGGTTTATCTTTCTTTTGTTGTTTGTGCTGTATCTAAGAAACCACATAATTCAAGGTTACAGAGAATTACCTTTAGCTGTTATATTTAGATCTGATTCTTAAGCGTTTTTCTGTATAATAAGGATCTTACTTCATTCTTTCTTGTATGTGAATATCTAGTCATCTTGACACCTTTTTTAAATTTTTTTTTCTGGAACCGGGGATTGAACTCAGGCCCTTGTGCTTGCCAGGGAAGCACTTATTCCACTGAGCCATCTCCCCGGCCCCTTGATACATTTTCTTGATAAGACTAGTCATCCCCCTTGCCAACATCGGATTATCTTGACAGCTCTGATCACTCATTAGAAAGCTCTCTCCTGCATAGATACTAACTGGGGAAAGAATAGCTTTCTCAGACTTACTAGGTCTTTATTTTTTATTTTTAAAAAAGATCATTATCATAATGGTCAATATATTGTGCATTGTTATCTTTTTAAATTAGTTATTCAAAGTACAAAATATAGGCATTTTGTTATCCAAACAATATTAGCACAGACTTTTCAGTGAGCTAAGAGAAACTAGTAGTATAATTATCTTGAACTATTGTATGTGTATAGATAAGGGTTTTTTGTTCTTTTTATTATTATTTTGTATTTTAGTACAGGCTCTACAGGGTCTCGCTACGTGGATCAGACTCGTAGTGATACGCCTGTTCAGCCTCCCAAGAGCTGGGATTATAGGCGCACGCCCCGCGGGTGGGGCCGGCACGGCGGGTTGGGGCTCGAGCCTTGGCTGCCGGGTCTACCTAAGCAGGCGCTTTAGCAGGCGCTTGAATCCGCTGAGCTAGTTGGCTGGCCCTGTTTTTGTTTTGGCTCTTCCTTTCTTTTCTCCTTTCCCCTGTCCATTTCTCCTTCCTTTTGAACAGTTTCTTCCCATTTCATAATATCTGCTGTACACTGTGGATCTTACTTACTCTTTCAGCTTCTCGCACTAGGTAGACAGTATGCTGTTTATTCGTGTATAGCAGGTTTATTTCTCTTATGAGTGTGGCCTCAAGTTGCCTCCATTTACCTATAAAAGTCTCCAATTTACCCTTCTTTATGGCTCAGTCTAAAAATACCACATGCTTTTTATCCATTCCTCAGTTTGGGTTGGTTCTAAGCTCTAGCTGTTAGAAATTGGACTGCTATAAATGTGTGCACCTATCGCTGTGGTGTGATGCTTCAATTCTTCTGGGAAGATGCACAGAGGGGAGTAACCGGGTCACATGAGACCTCCAAGCTCAGTGTCTAAGGCACCTGCCTCCACACTGATTCCCACAGTGGCTGTGCCAGGCAGCTCTCCCCCAAAGGGAAGCGGCGTTACCCCACAGCCCCACTAGCGTCATGTTGTTGGCTGATTTCTTGATACTAGCCGTTCTTTCTGGGGTTAGATGGAATCTCAGTGTTACTTTAACTTGCATCTCCAGAATGACCAGTTATATTGAACATTTTTTCATGTATGTATTTGCTGTTTGTATTTCTTCATCTGAGAAGTATGTATTCATCTCAGATGCCTATTTTTGGATTGGGTCTTTAAATTTTGGAAGGTCTAATTTTTTTGAGTTCTTTATAAGTTCTCAATAGTAATCTTTTGTGGGACCAGGAAGATGGCTCAGTAGAATAAGCGCTTCCCTGGCAATCCCTGGTTCCACCAAAAAATAAAATAGTAATCCTTTGTCTGAGGAACAGCTGGCAAATGTTCTTCCCACACTGTGGCTTGTTTCTTCTCTCTGGTGGTGGTTTCTCTTGCCGTGAAAAAAAAAGTTTTTAAAAAGATGGGATCACAGTCATTGATTCTTTGTGATAGTTCCTGAGCAATCAGGGTCTTATTCATAAGGTCTTTGCCTATATCTGGGTGTTCAGTCAACTATTTTACTTATTCTATCTTCCAGTAGATTTAATGTTTGCATTTTAATATTTAGATCTTTGATCCATTTCAAAATTAGTTTAGTGCATGGTGAAAGGTACAGGTCCAGTTTTAATCTTTGGTATGTGCAGAGCCAATTTCTCCAGCTGCATTTATTAAAGAGGCTATCTTTCTTCCAGATAATGTGTTTGGTACCTTTATCAAAGATAAGGTGGCTGAGTATATCTGGCATTGTTTCTTTGTCTCCTGATCTGTTCCATTGATCTTCAAGTCTGATTGTTTTTTTGTTTGTTTGTTTGTTTGTTTTTGCCAGTACCGTGCTCTTTTTAATCACAATAGCATCATGATATAATTTCAGATCAGGGATCGTGGTGCCCTCTGCCTTATCTTTGTTGCTCAAAATTGTTTTTACTATTCCAGCTTTCTTCTGGTTCCAATTGAATTTTGAGATTGTTTTCTCTAATTCTGTGAGATATACTTTTGGAATTTTGATCAGAATTGCATGAAATCTGTATAACAGTTTTGTAAGTATGGCCATTTTCACTATATTGGTTCTTCCTACCCAAAAGCAAGAGATATGTTTCCATTTTCTGGTATCTGTTTCAATCTCCTTTTTCACATTACTGTAGTTTTCAATGTAGAGGTCTTTTAAATTCTTTGTTAGATTGATCCATAGGCATTTCAATTTTTTGGATACAATTGTGAAATGTATTGTTTCCCTAATTCTCTCAGTGACTTTGTTATTCATGTACAGGAAGGTTGTTGATTTTGAATGTTGACGTATCTAGCTACACTACTGAATTTGCCCAATAAATCTATCAGTATTTTATCAGAGTATTTGAAATCTTGTATGGAGAGCACCATGTCATCTACAAATACTGATAATTTAGCTTCTTGCTTTCCTATCATTATCATTTCTCTTTCTTTCTCTTGTCCAATTACTCAGGCCGAAGTTTCCAGGAATCTTGATGAGTAAGAATGTAGACAGTGAACATCCTTGTCTTGTTCCTGATTT